TTCCGTTGAGCACTCACCTGAAACTATCTTCACAACTTCATTCACAGAATCGTTAGCCATATTTGGAAAGCAGATTCGGAATCAGCACCCGGAAGTACGTGCAGCAGTATAGGTCTTATTTCAAATGATCACTTTGACTTGGGATCCTTCCCTTGTAAGTAGGAACACACTATCTGCTAAAGGTTGACGTTACCTTTCCCCGAACTCCCAAGGTGGCGGCGGTGGTTCCGCGGCGACTACCGTACCCTTACACTGAGAGATCAAGTCTTTCCCTTCATAGAGCGCGATCGTGTGCAGTGAACGCGACGCGATTTCGGGGCGAAGTACCGACATCCGTTGCTCAAGCCTTCATTCACCGTTTCCGCCTCGATGAAATCAATGGTCTTCTCCAAATCGATGGACGTAAGACGCAACAGCAACCTGTACTCTTGCGAGGCTTCAATGGCTCTTGTAACACTGTGGATGTGATCAATCATAGTGAACCCTCTCCGAATAATATTCTGTCAATCCTGTTGAGGATGACTAATGTGAAAAGTTTGTTGATTACAGATAGTAAGCATATTGAGCGATAGTTGCCATTAGCGCCTGGATCGCCTTCATTATGCATCCACACTGTCTTACTACTTTTCCACAACATGGGTACTTTGCATTCCAACAGGTACCACTTGAAGAGCTAAGTCAGGACATTGACGATAACTGGTTCAAGGCTCGTTAGGTTCTCAACGTATAGACTTCCATAAACCGCGACTAAAAAATAATTTATGGATATCCGATCAAACATCTCCGCAGCCCTACCGAAGTTCGATCCCCAGAGAGCACGTAATCCAAAGAACCACTTACCGAGTTTCTTGGATCTCAAAATCTCAAAGCAACTGGTAGTGCGACCAGTGCCAGCTGGGCTTGGTCTTCATGGACATTATGTGAAAAGGCCAACCTTGCCTAAGGCCTCAGTTCCGCGTAATCAAGAGGTCTCCGATTCACGGAGCACGAGCGATTCGTGCGATTCTGGGTGCGCGCGGCAAATTGCGCGGCGAATTTCGATGCGATTTGGACGACTGCAGCGTTTATCATTGAGGCCTATATTTGAAGTAAAGTAGGTTAGTAGGATTGTCTGATCCTACTAAAGTACTCTACTTCAAGTTTGTGACTCAAAAAGAGGCGCCAGAGTTGTTTGAATCGTGGCGAATTCCGACGCGCAATTTGCCGCGCGCACCCAGGATCGCACGA